GTTATTATAACGGTAAATCCAGACCTATCAGAAGAAAACACAGTACTGTGAGATCTTATATGAATAATGGCATCATAAATGTGGATTATATTAAATCTGGTGATAATCTTGCAGATCCATTAACTAAGGCCTTAGTAAGAGATAGAGTCTGGAATACATCGAGGGGGATGGGGTTGAAGCCCATTGAATATAGCATGAGTCATATATGAGGATACTCAACCCAGGGACCAGAGATCCTGTAATTAGGTTCAATGAGAAAAACGATCATATGATGGCCGTGAGAAATGCACTAAATTATTTTTTACCTATCCTTATGATGTAAGTGCATTTATCCTGTAACGTTGTAGAGGTTGAATTATTAAAAAACTCTTAATGAATTTCTGTAGCTCTTATTGAGTGTGGTGTCATAGTTACAGGAGCACCCTTGATAAAATTCACCTATGTGAGTGTGGTAGTGGGGCCGCTACCTATGAGATTTGGGCTAATTCTCAAACATACTCATGAATCCTGGGATCGTACAAGGCCGTAATGTGCTGGCTCTTAAAGCTTATGTGAACACCTGGAATATTATGTGTGTGCAATAATTATTTATTTCCCTTAAGTAGTCATAGTTCAATGCTGAGCATACTCTTGGCTCTGAAGTAGACATTATTGTTTCACTAATGGAGGTTCAATGCAGAGCACACCTACCATGATGTATAATATCCTTATTTGCTTAATAATCTCAGTTTTTGTTACCTATAATATTAAAATAGGTGGGAGAATGTTAGCAGATATTTTAATATTATAATGTATTATAGATTATATTATGTGATTGGGCTCCAAATAACTTGTTAATCCTTTCTTTTCCTCCAAGGAAACTTGCTCATCAAGTCTCCAAGTCAAGTCTTTTTCTCCTAGTCTTCCAAGTCATGTCTTCTTCTCCAAGTCAAGTCTTCTCCTCTTCCAAGAAACTTATCCACCAAGTTTCTTCTCCTCCAAGACATTTGCCTACTAAGTTTCATCTTTTATAAATTGATCTAACTTCTTATCTTGAAAGTGAGAAGAAATTTTTGTTGCTTTCTTATGTTTTGTGTGAGATTATTAGGCAAATAAAAAAGGGTATATGTGATAAAGTTTTGGGTTCAACCAATTGTGCAGTATTGGTGAATCATACGACTTAGTCGGGCTGTTATATCATGGGGGGACAAGTCAAGGTTTTTTCTGCTGCACCGGTGTGAGGCTTTGCCTAACCGCAGAAGGCTTGAATCTTCTCAAAGAGAACGAATTTCCCGCGCCTCAGCCCTTACAATAGTTATTGTAATTTTTATTATTTGTATTTTTTAGTATTTTATTTGTAATTATCACCAACACCATTCAATTCTAATAAGTTGACAAATTACTTTTCAAATTATAAATTTGTTAAATTTTGTACCAAATCTAACACAAGATTTGACTAGAATTTTCTCAATTTTCCTCTCTTCTTATAATGTGATTCACAAACATTTTTTTGTAGTTAATTTTGTTTTCTCTATATCCTGTACCATTAAAATAAAATTGTCAAAAGTTTATATTTTAATGCTATAGTTAGCAAAATATGAGCATTAAAATTAAAATTACTCTTACCCTATGTGAAATGATTAAAAAAGATGTACTTTTAAATGTAAAAATTACTTTTCTTGAATTTAAAAGAAAATATTGTATCGCAAATGTATAAAAAAGGTCCAAATATTTCTAAAAAGAATAGTGACCTTTGTCAGAATAATATAAAACTAATTCAAATAAAATAATTTATCACTATATTTTTAATTTGTTAATATTACTATTCGTATACTGGGAAAATACTTCACCTAAGCACAATTATAGGGTATTATTTGGGCATGTGAGGTCTGCTAAAGGTTTCTAATGATTTGATTAATTTTGTAGATAATAAAAAAAATCTATTGATCCGATCCTTTTTTTTAGAGTTATACTAAAGACCCCAAATATTTTATCAAATCTTTTACATGGGTGTGAGACCCACACACATGTGGATTTGTGTGAGTCTCACCCTATGGGAGAAATTTGATAGAATATTTGGTATAATGTTTGGAATACATAGGGGCATTTTGGCAACATTGGTAAAAAGCCAATTTTTTTACTTTTTAGTTTTTTTAGTCAAAAAAACCAACTTTTTTACCCAAAAGAACTTAGCTCTTTGTCAAAAAGTCATCAAAAAAATCTAAAAAACTAATTTTTTACCAACTTTTCAAAACATCACGTAGCATTTCTCTTCTCTTTACCGCTAAAATGTTATGAAATAATGTAGATGATGTGCGTACATATGAATAAATAATGATAAAATACGTATTACTATATAAAAGATATGATAATAATATTTTTATTTATATGATTAATAAATGATCCAATATTAAATTAAAATTTAATAGAATCAATATATTTATCAAAAAGTCTAGGTGCACAGACGATCGAATACATATTCAAACATAAAAATTGTGCATCCGATTATTCGCTCAGACGATTGGCCAAAGCTTGTCAACTACAACTGTCATGGTGTTTTCTAGTTGTCCGGTAAGTGTTCGGTGAAATAATTTCTGTGTTTGATTTTATATTTAATCCTCGTAACATTACCGTATAAATATACCAAATTGTAGGAATATGTCTCCTTCAAACGTTAAAGAAGGCTAATGCAGTTTACTCAATTTAATTTATTATTACGCTTCGACGGCAAGGTTGTACTGATGGTTATATTTGAGGTTTAATTTTTTAAATATTTATATATAATTATTTAAATGAATAATTAAATAGAGTATTACAAAAATTATTTTTTATTTTAAAATTATTACAGGATTATATCTTCCACTAATCATAAATTATCATATATTTTATTATTTTTTAATCACCTATCACAAAATCACAAACTCTTCTCTCACTATCATGTCTATTAGGGACGGTTAACAGATATTTCCATTCGTCCAAACCGATCTACTCGAACTGATTCGTCGCATTTTAGACGGATGCGTGATGGTGAGCGGACGGTTGCAAATTAATTTTTTTTTCAATCCACCTAGTTTTGAACGGATGGCGGATTTAAGATTCCTTTGACCGTAATCGAACTGTCAACCGTGAGTACCCTTAGTAATTTGTAAGACTTTTTGTTTTTGATTTATTTAGATATTCTGTTTGTGCTTTTAATTAAAAAATAATTTAGATATTCTGTTGTATTTTCAATTTGAAAATCTCTTTATCAAATGACAAGTGTTGATATTTGGTATTTTTATGTGGAAAATATAAAACTTAATTTTGTCATTTTTAAAAAAAATCAAATTAAATAGTTTTTGAATAAAAAAAGTAATGAAATAATTTTGATAATGTATGATTTTTTTATATGAATTTATTCTTGATATTTGACAATTTACTTGATAATCTTTTAGTTATGTTGAGTTGGATTATTATCCCAAAAAAATATTGACAAGTTATTATATTAGTTCAAAATTTATAAAAATTTAAATAACCAAATCGATTTGTATCCATTGGCCAATCCGCTCAATTCATATTTGTCAATCTAATAGACGGATGTGAATTAATTTTTATCAATCTGACAAACAAGTGACAGATTAAATTTTTGAAAAATGAGTAAGAGCTCTAATTATCACTACCGCTAATGATGTGACAATAGGTGGAACCCGCTGCCACAATATGTATTGTGGCTATTTTTGTTTTGTTTTTTTTACTTTATCACCTCATTAGTAATAGGTTTAGAGCCACTAAAATAGTGATCTCTAGGATCACTGTAAATTTTTTTGACCGCAACCAAACGTGATAAAAATTATTTTCATTATGTCTATCAACAATAAAGTTTTTCGACAGATTAATGTCTACAAGCAATATTGACTGATATAAATTATTTTCATTTTCTAATCTCGCAAAAATAAAAAGCATATTTTATTTCAATTTTTCTTTTTTATTTTCCACCACCGGGCAGGTTACACGTGTCAATTCGATTAACATGCGCCTCCCCAAATTTTGTCGTGAACCGCACGCGTGACGAACGGTCAAATATCATATGGGAAAGCTCGGGAAAAACGAGGGAAAATCTGATGGAAAAGGGCAGGTGAAGGAGATCGATCCAAGTCCAAACAAGCCGAAAATAAAAACAAAGATCTATATATGTAGTCAGGAAAAACCAAGGAAAAGTGTTCGTTTATCAGCTGGGTTTGGGTGAGACTGAGATTATTTTAGTTATAAAAGGATAAATTTTTTTTCTTAATTTAATAAAATAAAATTTTATATTTAAATTATAATTATTTTATTTTTTTATACAAATTAAAAAAGTCAAAAAATTGATTTCAAACGAGATTTTCTATCTTCAAATTAAAATAATTAAAAAAATTAAAAAATCAACTTAAGTGAATCGTAAAAGGGCCTTTGCTTTGTCTTGCTAAAATGCGCCACACCCTTTTTTTATTTTCTTGATTTTTCTTTTCTTACCAGAAAAAGAGACTAGACCCTCCCTCCTTTTCTTTATTTTAAAAAAAAAATGCATATTGGTCTTTTTTTAATTTCTGACTCTTTCTCTGAACTTTTGAGTACGATTTCGTGTTCTCATAGTTTTTCTCTGCTTTTTTTTTTGCCCTTTTTTTTGTTGTTGTAATTTCTGAGTTTAAAGCTGCAACGGAATCACTAGTGTGTGCGCAGGATAACAGCGTGTACACTCTTCCCTGTTTCAAGCAACCAGGACACAGAGAGAGGGAGAGAGAGTTTTTGGTAGTGTGTTGATGGAGATGGGGAAAGCAAAGATGGGGGAATCAGTATGATGACTACTTTCATTGAAAGGTCGGTTTCTTTTGTCACTCGTTGAGAGCTATGATTTATATATATATATATTTAAAAAAAAACAATAACAAAAAAAAAAACAAGAAAGCACTTGATAATCCGACCACTCATGCTTTGGTCCGCGTGCTTTGATGCAGCCCCATTTTTTTTCCTTTCACTATTTACTGTGATGAAGTCTTGATAGATAGAGAGAGAGAGAGAGAGAGGCCCACTTAGATTTCAGTAGCTTTTTGCAGGTTTTGTTCCTTGGTTTTGGATTTTTCGGACATGCCCTCTGTCCAATTGGCTTGTTTTCCCTCCTTATTTCCTTAGGATTCTCAGGAATAAAGTACGTGATTTCTTTTGTGGGCTGTTGGGTATTTCTAATTTTCATGGGAGATATGTGATTACATGAAGTGGGTATTGGTTTTTCTTCCCATTTCCTCTAAAAAATATGACATTTCTTGAGGTGGTTCAACCCTCAAGTCTGAATCTTCTGAAGAAGGGGGTGTTTTCTTGAGGTGGGTTTAGGGAATTTTGTGGATTTTGGATGGAAAATGCTAACTTTCCGATTAATTGAGTCTTGGGTTTCCTTTTCAAATTGGCTTGTTTAATGTAATGATTGGTTTCTGTAGAGGGACACCATATGGGTTCTGTTGAAGACAAGGTCAAAACAAGGGGGTTGGTTTCTGGGGCACACACTTTATTGGAGGACATGAAATTGTTAAAGGAAATGCAGGATCATTCTGGTTAGTCTTTCTTCAACTGTTGTGGTTTTGTTTTTAATGTTTACTTCATTTTGCATCTTAAAATTGGCTACTTGACAATGGTAAGGCTTGCCATTAGGGTTGTGATGGCACATAGGTTTAATTTTGGCCTTTTCAGACTCTGTTTTGGCAAGAGTCTCGTGCACTGGCTGTCTTTACTTCAATTTGTTCTTAAATTTGCTAATACATATGGCTTGTTCCTGAAAATATGGTGATTTGGACTTGAAAGTTCGAAGAACACTCTTATGAACTTGTTTCTTGAGCTTTCCTAGTATGTATCTTTGATAGGTTTGGCCCTGGTTTGTTTCAGGGGTTCGCAAGCTGATAAATTCGGAGCTATGGCATGCGTGTGCTGGCCCATTGGTGACCTTGCCTCAGGTTGGAAGCCTTGTTTATTATTTCCCACAAGGACACAGTGAACAGGTTTGCATATCTTCTGTTGATTTTAGTTCATTTATTTTTTCTGTTAATTTTATAGTAGGTTTTAGTTGTCGTCCTCTTGAAAATTTCATGCTCATTAGCAATTGTCTTCCTAATAGGATATGTCTAGCAGTGTAATTGCCAATGACAATGCATGAAGAGATAGGGTCAAGGCTGAAGCTGTTTAAGTCTCTGTGTCGTCATACTTAAGACTTGGATCCAATCCTACTTTCATTCGGTTGAGGGGAGTGGGGTGGGATATAAATTTAGGTAGGGCGAGCTCTGTCTCACTTGTGCAGCTGATGAAATTATTCCTATTATAGAAAAGGAGAGAAGTAGAAGTAGAATCAGATCAATGTGAAGTTACTCCTATTTTAGCAGAAATTCAATGAATTAATCTTGAGACCCGGCTCAAGAGAAGTTGCAGTAAAACAAGGGATGAAGGGTAGAAACAAAAATTTTCTTTAACATCTGATTGTGCCTTTCCCAAGACATGTGACACTTTGTTACTGATAGATCTTTGATGATAGATCTTTGATGAACGACCAAGCAAAATCTAGGGTTGCGTTTGGTAGGGCTTTAGAATTATAATTTGAGAATAGAGTTGTATTTTGAATTTGTGAGTTTTGGAATTATGATTTGAGTGTTGGATATTTGTTTGGTCATGAATTTTGAATTGAGTGATGTGATATATGATATTTGATTAAAAAATTTACAACTTATAATCAAACATACAACTCAAAAGTCTATTCAAAACTCATAATTTTTTTTTTAAAAATTCTCAAAATATTTTTTATTTAAAATATAAAAATAACAGGTGTCAAAAAAAAAAAATCACTGTTCGGTCAACTGACCGGATGTCCAGAGGGACATTTGGGTGGATCATTGGATAGATGCTTTTTCAAACACAGGTGTGGAAATTATTTTTGAAACGCAGAACCAAACGTAGCATTCAAATCAGTGGGTGGAATTATGATTTGAGAGCCCACTTAAACACAGCCTAGGATTTTGTTTTGTAGTTTCTAGTGTCTTATTGCAGATGAATTATTCATCTTGTTTCCAAGGTTTTGCGTCATGGATTGCTGGGGTAGATAGCTTCAATCCAAACTAGAAACTTTTGTGGTCATATGAAGTATGAGGACTTTTTGTCAAAATTCAGCCACTCATTCCTCATGTGACTTTAAATCTACTGACCACAGTTCTGGCATTTTCAAGTCTATTATCTAGGTATAATGCTCTTAAAATTTCTTACAGCACCACCACATGCACAATTTTAGTGGTTTGCCCACATTTAGACTTTACAGGTCATATAACAGTCCAAAGAATGGTTTGGACTATCAATCTTGACTCTATTTTAATTTATAAAATCTATCATTTGGTAGTCTTGGCCTAATAACGTTGAGGTTATGGGTTCAAGTTTTGAGACCGCTACTTTGCGCATTATGCCAAAGGTTAGGGGGTACTCAATTTTTCTCCTCTCAAACACACATTGATGTGTATTAATTGGGCGTTGTTTGTGTCATCTAGTAGTCTTTATCCAACGTCAATTTGACATGTTGAGTCTGTGGGAAAGGAGCAATACTGCTGCATAGCTGTCATTGTAAGATCTAAATAGCTTACAAGTTACAAAGATATTGCAAATTTTGTATTTTTCTTGGAAGTTGGAATGGTTGAGAAAGGAAAATAAATGCATATTTGCAACTTGTTCTTTGTTATTCTATCATATTTTCAACTAATTAGTTTTTTGGTAATAAAATCGCTTACCAACTAATGATTAGCTCTATATATTTGTTATTTTTTTTTGGGTAAGCCCTATATTTGTTGCTCTTGTTAGCTAATGGATTCTTAAATGTGTTATACCAGGTGGCAGTTTCCACAAATAGAACTGCAACCTCACATATCCCTAACTATCCAAATCTCCAGTCTCAGCTGTTGTGCCAAGTTCACAATGTTACTCTACATGTATGGTGCTATCGGGTGGCTTCCCTCTTTATTGATACCAGAAAAATAAGTCAATATATCAAATTTTATATTTCTCAATTTATATGTTGCGAGTCTTATCTTTCCTGGTTTGTCTGATGATATAGGCGGACAAAGAAACAGATGAGATCTATGCCCAAATGAGCCTTCAACCTGTCAGCTCTGTAAGCCTAGCTACTTTAAAAATATATCTAATCTTCATTTGATTAGTTTTATTTTTTTTTTAAAGTTAAAATGTGAGTTACTGATCCTAAATATATGTAAATGCTTTTGGATCAGGAAAAAGATGTCTTCCCTATACCCGATTTTGGTCTAAAGCCCAGTAAACATCCAACTGAATTCTTCTGCAAAACTTTGACCGCTAGTGATACAAGTACACACGGTGGCTTCTCGGTGCCTCGTAGGGCAGCAGAAAAGCTCTTTCCACCATTGGTGAGGCTTTCATATTTTAGAATGAGATGACCTTACTAGCTGTGGTGGTGGTGGTGGAATTGAGGAATGTCGCATTTTAATCTTAGTAACATCATTTTTATTCTTTCTTTCTTTATTTAGGACTATTCAATGCAACCACCAACTCAAGAGCTCGTTGTTCGTGACTTGCATGATAATACCTGGACATTTCGTCACATATACCGCGGTGAGGATGCATATGATATATCCTTTTTATTTATTTGTTTTAACAACAACTTATTTCCTTTTAGGACAAATGCTTGACTGCCAGTGAAGTGACCCAAATGTACATGGTTCATTTTGTTTGTAGTTATCAGTGAACATTATTGACAATTGTTTTTTTGTTTTATTCTTCTCAATGGCATTATATTTCTTATCTTAAAATTATTTTGTTTTTGTTCCATTTTATTTAGGGCAGCCAAAGCGACACCTTCTCACTACTGGCTGGAGTATGTTTGTTGGTGCAAAGAGGCTTAGAGCAGGTGATGCTGTTCTGTTTATAAGGTATTTACAATACTTTATTTTTTATTCTACTTTGAAACTGCAAATAACACCAAAATCTTAAGATAACCTCTATGTGTGTGCGCACGTGTGTGCCCTTGCTTGTTTGGGAATCCATTTGCTTAGTTTTGAATTTTCCACCTTATGTGTACACTTGCAACCTCAACCAGTGGATTTATTTATGAATGGAGATCGAAATTTAATTTTATTATGTTACAATAGATGCAGGAAATTGTTTAAAAAATGACATTAATATGATGCTTTATTTGACTTCTATTGTATATTGTCTTATTGGTTACAATGTTATTATACATTTGTCTAAGTAGGGATGAAAAATCACAACTATTGCTGGGTGTGAGGCGTGCAAATCGTCAGCAAACAGCTTTACCATCATCAGTCCTATCTGCCGATAGCATGCACATTGGAGTCCTTGCTGCCGCGGCCCATGCTGCTGCTAATCGAAGCCCATTTACAATTTTCTATAATCCAAGGTATGTTTGACAATTACCTTTTTACCTAATTCTGGAGTGTTCATATATTTGAGACCTTTTACAATTTCCTGATTGTTTTGTGATCTCTACTTATCTATAGGGCATGCCCTTCAGAATTTGTCGTTCCTTTGGTCAAGTATCGAAAATCTGTATATGGCACGCAACTCGCAGTTGGTATGAGGTTTGGAATGATGTTTGAAACAGAGGAGTCAGGCAAGCGCAGGTAACAATCTCAACAAGTGCACATTGGTATCAAATCAATGCACGGTGAATGTTTGTTTTGGTTCAAAAATGAGTACTTGTTTCTGTGAATATGTGGAGATATAAGTTCATCTTTCTCGTATTTTCTGCAGATATATGGGTTCAATTGTTGGTATTAGCGAGTTAGATCCGCTAAGATGGCCCGGTTCCAAATGGCGCAATCTTCAGGTGCACCAGTCTGTTTAAGGACTAGAATTCTCTAATGCAATCTTCAAAAACTTGCTTGTTTGCTATTATAGTTTAGACTTTTAATGCATATGTTTCGTAAATAGGTAGAGTGGGATGAGACTGGCTGCGGTGAAAAACAGAAAAGAGTGAGTCCATGGGAAATTGAGACTCCGGAAAGTCTCTTCATTTTTCCGTCTCTGACTTCAAGCTTCAAACGACCTCTACAAAGTGGCTTTTTCGGTAAGTTCAACTTGATTCTATCTTCAAGTGTGCAAATTTTTAAATATTTTCATTGAACAATGATAACTATTATTGTAACAGGAGAACAAAATGAATGGGAGAGTCTGGCAAAGAGGCCTTTCATCCGAGTTCCTGAAAACCTAACTGGTGATCTTCCATATCCTCCCTCGATTTCAAGCCTATGGTCAGAACAACTGATCAAGATGCTAATAAAACCGAGCGCTAACAATCCCGGAACTGTTGCTCCCATTCAAGACTCCGCTGCTAAAGGATCTTCGTTGCAAGAGGCTACGACTATGACACAGGTGATGACCAAGCAAAGACCTCAGGTCATCCCGCCTGATAATATTTTGTCAGAAAGTGAAAACCGTCCTCAAATCCACCTTGACCAATCCAATCCCATAAACCCAAACTTTGCACAGCTGCAAGCTCCAGAAAAACTAGGAAATCAATTGCCATACGGGTCAAGCACTCAAGTGTCAAAAGTCGAACCCATACTTTCATCGGCTCAGTTAAGCCAGTTAACTTCTACGGGGCCATGCAACGAAGACAAACTGGCTTCAAACACTACGATTCCACAGAATCTTGTAAATCAGTTGACATTCCTCAACCAGAACCATTGTTTGTCACAGTTGCAGACTAGTCCTTGGCTCATGCAGTCACAGTTCGAATCATTGGCAGCCCACCCTCAGCAGCTTGATGCTCACCAATTAGAGTGTACTAATTTCAATGGTTTAATTCCATACCCTGACATGAATGATTGGAATTTGAACGCTGCTATTCTCAGGTCGCCCGGACCTTCATCGGTGTTTGGAAAGCAAGAATCTTCAGTGGTGTTTTCGGAAACCGTTAAGCCCACTGTAACCTCAGTGGGCCACGAAACGTGGGATCACCAGCTGAATACTTTACGGTGTTTGTCCCAGACAACCCAACTCGCTCCTTTACCTCAGCAAGATCTTTATAGTCTTCAGTGTAGATCTAATCCAAATGGGTTGAAAGATTTGTCGGATGAAAGCCATAACCAAAGTGACATATATAGTTGTCTTAACTTTGATGGTAGCAATGGTGGAAGCACAGTGATTGATCCTTCTGTTTCAAGCGTGACCATCTTGGACGAGTTTTGCACGTCAAAAGATGGTGCTTTTCAAAATCCCTCGGATTATTTAATTGGGAACTTCAGTTCAAGTCAGGATGTTCAGTCCCAGATTACATCAGCTAGCCTAGCTGACTCTCGGGCATTTTCTTTGCAAGAGTTCCCGGATAGCTCAGGCGGTGCTTCTTCAAGCAATGTGGATTTTGATGACAGTGGCCTTTTGCAGAACAACGCATGGCAACAAGTGGCTCCACCAGTACGAACCTATACAAAGGTTAGAATTTTTATAAATTCCGAAGAATCTTATTTGTATCCTAATTCTTTCATTAACCGTGGTGGTGATGAATAAATGCTATTGGCAGATTCAAAAGGCTGGATCTGTTGGTAGGTCAATTGATGTATCGAGTTTCAAGAATTACGATGAACTGCTCTCTGCCATTGAGTGCATGTTTGGACTCGAGGGGCTGCTCAATGACAGAGGTTCTGGCTGGAAACTAGTGTATGTGGATTTTGAGAATGATGTTCTACTTGTTGGGGACGATCCATGGGAGTAAGTCTTCCTTCGCTCGCACACTCTTTTAAATTTTCCTTTCTTAATTTGCTTAGCTTTTCTATCAAATTTGGTGTTCTGAAATTCCATTTAAATCCTAAACTTCTTGCTCTGAAAATCAATTTAACTTGCTTTGCTTTTCTTTTGCAACTATGTTTTCTTGTTTTTCTGAATATTATTAATTTCGGATGGCTTTGATTCAATGTTTTTTGTCTGCAGGGAATTCATTAGCTGTGTCCGCTGCATACGAATTCTATCACCATCTGAAGTTCAGAAGATGAGTGAAGAGGGAATGCAGCTTCTCAACAATACCGCCAACATGCAGGGTACTACCGTACTGATATCAGAAAGCGGCCGTGCTTGGGATGCTCCTAACTGATCCACTTCGGCCTTACCTGATACAGAGGCTACCCTCTTGCTGCCTGCTTCAACAGCAGAGATTGGTTGGTTGATTTATCTTTTGCTTGGCTGATTCTGAAAATTAATTTGTGGCATCTTAATTGTCATTAAAAGAGAACCTCGAGCAAGGCCAAGTGATAGAGCTTTGTTTTAGATTTGGATTGTAGAGTTGGAAAATTATATGTATGAACAACGTTAGATATACATTTTCCTATGTACTAGTGTATGAGATTTGTCATGAAGAGCCAATTCATGTAGCTCGTGATCATGCTTCTTTTGCTACGTGATTTACCACTTGTCCAAACTGGAACAGACACAAAATACTCGTGTCATGTTTAGATTTTGAATTTTTAAAGAGAAGAAAAAAAAAAAGGAACAGATATATTAATTCTTTTTGGTTATCCATAAAAAATAAAAATGTATAAATCATTTCATGTCATGACAAATTCAAGATCTTCAAGCAAAGTAGTATAGAAATTTCGCCGAAGTGTCTTTTATATAACAGTGATCAAATGGATTTAACCATTTCTTTAGTTTTAGGAGGATTAGTTTTTTCATGTTATTTAAACTAAATAACCTTATTTTTGTCTCAATAAGCACAAGTGACATCAAATATTGTCAGCTCAAATTCTCAAAGTATTTTTTTTTTTAAATTTATTTTATAAATAACCCTAATACCAAAAATTATGGACAAAAGGTTGTGAATCTCAACAATTTGAAACGAGTGCAGTTAATCATCTCAGTCACCTTCAGAACTGCATATACCAACATATCAAAACCAACTTCAAATGCTACTGATGTTAAAAGACAGAAAGAAAAAAAACTTCAAATGCCACCACCAGGTGGCCCATCAGTTCAACACAACCACTTGACAATGAAGTTTAGTACCATGTACATTTTGTGATCATCGTTCCGTCAAACAAATAACTCAGGCACGGACTTAAACTGATTGTTGAAGATCTACTGTCAGGTGAAAATGAACTTGAAACAAGGATGTCCATCCTTGCTAACCACCTGCAACCGTAGTAGACCTTATATACAACACTATTCTTACCCTCTCAAGCTCTCAGTAGAAGCTCAGGATCATTATACTCTTACTGGTTTCTGTAGAACAACAGACAAATAAACCTCCGATTTCCCTGACCCATTTACCTTATCTCCCACAACCCATTTCAGTTTTTTGAACCCAAACCGTTCAATTAATCGGGTTAAAGCTCCTTTCTTTTCATCACTGGTGCAATAAAAGTTGTCCAGCCAAAACAGTCCACCGGGCCTCAAAATCCGATCAATATCAAACATTAGGAACTCCAACTTCTCCGAGCGGCCACCAACATCCAATGCACTCGCAACATGAACTAAATCGAACACATTATCATAAAAGGGGAATCTATGATCCAAACTCAAGTACAGAGGGAAAAGCCCTCTTGCAGCGATGAATTCGCTAAACGGGGCATCAATATTCAATGTAGCAGTGATTACAGTTACATTCCTCTCTGCCATTCTTGCAGCAAAGGTTCCAGACCCACCACCAAGATCAAACCCAATTCTGATTCCACCACTTCCCAAAGCTAGCACATCATCAATAACGAAATCATTTTTGGTTCTAGAGTTAACATACTTTGGATTTTCAAACCCATTAACCAAATCAAAGCAACCAACACAATCTTTACTTAATTTCTTGCTATTCAAACACTGTAAATTCTTGCAACCAAGACCACTCCAGTTTACAGTCTTATCACTAACATTCTTCCAAAGAGAAATTGGAAAAGAGTACAGACCCACCTTGGGAATAGACTTGGCAAAGCACCTCCTTCTCGGCAGAGGCTCGCATCCTCTCAAAATCAGCTTCTGGGCAAGGCTCCAATCGTCGGGGCAGGGTCCACTGACTCTGTAATTCATGTATTGAGACAACAAATCCATCGATTTCTCACAGGAATGGCCCACAGAAGCCACCATTTCGGTGATCCCAGTTCTTGAATCTTTCCCCAGAGGGAGCTTGTGGTGTTGGAGGAAGAGTTTGAGCTCATTCGCAATGTTGGGTCTTGAAAGATCGATTGTTTCATAGCCGAGAAGCCCTTTCTCCGTCTGGGTTGGCTTGTTCTGAGAAGAATCGATCTCTCTGAGGATCAAAGACACTTGCTGTGAGATGAGAGAGATGTTCTTGTGAGCATGGTGAAGTAGTGTCTGGTTCTTTGGGGATGATGTGAAGGAGTAGAGAGCAAAAAGATTGGTGGTGAGTACAGAGAAGAGCATGAGGACATTCATTGCCAAAGAACTGAGTGTAACCCTTTTGAATCTGGCTGTTCCATCGCCTATCTTTAGTGAAACCAAGCCCATCTTTGCTCTGCAAGAGTTGTGTGGGTGAACTGAGATTTGTGGAACGGTTGTAAGTCAAAACCTTTTCCGAGTTTGATCATTGATGGAAAGATGAGAGAAATGAGACTGCCTTTCACAAACCATAATTTAAAATTATTTTTTTAATATATAAATAGTGCTTAATATTTAATTTGTATGAATTATATTCAGAAACTTCACATCAATTCAAGTACTTTCCCTTAGTAATTATCAATTGAAGCACAAACACACTATTGGAATTTATTTATTTTTTTGCTGTTGATAATATTATGTATTTCACATGTCTCGAAGTTTATTTGGATGAGGAAATAAATTTTTCTTAATATCTTTTAAATTCACGAATGTAATTATAATTAGGAACTACAATACACGCAGTTATATACTTTAGAAACTACTTAGCTTGTTTAGTTCTAGTTTTCAGAAAATAATTTTTAAAAAATGTTATTTTTTTATTCCCTACAAATCAATTTTTACAATTTTTTATTACACATTTTTCAATAAAAAGTCAAAAAGTTAACCCAAACATCTATATTTTCAACCTCAATTTTTTAATCCAAAAAGACAAAAAGTACACTTTTTTAGTCTTCCCAAACTTGGCCTAATTATCAATTGAAGCACAAACACACTATTGGAATTTATTTATTTTTTTGCTGTTGATAATATTATGTATTTCACATGTCTCGAAGTTTATTTGGATGAGGAAATAAATTTTTCTTAATATCTTTTAAATTCAAGAATGTAATTATAATTAGGAACTACAATACACGCAGTTATATACTTTAGAAACTACTCAGCTTGTTTGGTTCTAGTTTTCAGAAAATAATTTTTAAAAAATTTTATTTTTTTATTTTTCATATTTTAATGTTTTCAATGAATTTTTTAAAATATTTTAAGTAATTTTTTTTTTAATTTTTAGACACACCTAATATAAATACACTTAAAAAGTAAAATATTTGTAAATTTTTTTTTAAAAAAATACACTACATACCAAAAAATACAAAAAAATATGAAATTTCAGTACATTTGTTGTATTTATTAATTTTTTAAAATATTTTTTCACAAATATTTTACTATTTAGATACATTTAAGTAAGTTGCATCTAAAAAAATAAAAAACTACTTAAAATTTTAAAAATATTTATTGAAAACAAAAAAAATATGCAAAAACAAAAAACTTTATTTTCAGAAAATTGAATTTAGAAAACTGAAACCAAACACACTGATTTGTGTATATGTATATATATATTTGTTGATCTTATCGCACTTATTTTGCCTATTAGGATAAAAATTATCACAACATTAATTTTTTTATTTTCAAATTAAAAAATATTATATATAATTTTATTTATTTATCTTTCTTTCATACTTTTAGACCAAGTAAATAGATTTTGAAATTATTTGAAATGATTTACATAAGTATACTTTTTAACTTTTTAATAAAAAGTGCGCAAAAGAATAAAGAAGTAATGTGACTTAAATAAGTATACTTAGGCCTCGTTTGGGGACTGACTATTTTAGCCAAAAAATCAAAAAGCCAACTAAAACTAGTCACATCACCTCTCTACTTTTCTACACATCTTTTCGTAAAAAGCCAAAAAATTACTAAAATAGCCTGTTCCCAAATGAGGCCTAAGTGTACGTATTTATTTTTTTTTAACAATAATTGTACTTATTTAAAAAATGCCCAATAAACTCTTCATGTATACGTATGAATTTAAACATTATTGCTTTGTGTTTAAAAAAATATAAAAAAAATATATACATAATATTATTTTTTTAAGAAAGATTTATTTATATGCAACCAACATTTTATTTTTTTAGAATAAAAATAATTACTCCTAGAAAGTGTTAGTAGGGATGTCAATGAATAACTTATCCTGTGGGTATCCATGGAGACCCAACCAATTACATAGGTTTTCTCCATTTTTTTTTTATCCATTGGGTAGGGTAAATGATATTCTTTAAATATCCACAGGGGATGGGTACCTACTAATTTTCCCATATGTTTTTTTTTTTTTAAAGATTCATAACCAAAACTAAATATACATTCAATCTTTTTTGTTTTATTTATTTTTTCAGGTTCACAACCAACTCTTTTTTTTTTTAATAAGGTTCACAACCATTTTTTTTAAAATTTTTAAGATTCACAACCAAAGCTAAATATACATTCAATCTTTTTTTTTTGTTTAAGGTTCACAACCATTTTTTTTTTTTTAAAGATTCAAAACCAAAGCTAAATATACATTCAATCTTATTTTATTTTATTTGGCTCAACAACAAAATCAAATACACATTAATTAACATTGTCACATTATTCTTGTCAAATTTTATGCATATCTAGAATTTTTTAAATTTATTTAAAAAAATTCTATTCCTACAAAAAAGTTTCATCTTCTTTTTTAATTTTTTTTTAATTTTATGTATCGCCTTCTCCTCTCTATTAATTGATCTTCGATAATTTGAAGGTGAGTTATTGCTCTCGTTTCCATCTTCTTCTTGTTCTTCTTTTTAAATTTTTTTTATTTGCATTTATAGAATAAATTTTCTTGTTTTAATATCTCCTGCAATTGTTTTATTAGATTTCTCTCTGATTTGATGGTTGCCTTAGATTGAATTTTTCAATTTTCATCTTAACTAGCGATCACCTTAATTAAAATTTTATACATTTTTTTCTTCAATTTTCATGTTTTGGTTATGATTAATTGCGCATTTTTGATCGATAGTCACAATCTTGTCGCCGCTAGATTGTCGTCATCGCAAATCGCTATTGCTGTACTGAGAGGACGAGAGAGAGTGAGAATTAGAACTCTAATTGTCAACAGAGTAGTGAAAACATATGGAGAAATTATTTTCTGATGTACCCAAAAAAGAAAATGGGAAAATTAGTGGGTACCCATCCCCGGTTAAGATTTAAAGAACATCACTTACCCTACCCGAGAAACAAGAAAAAAGGAAAAACCCAAGTATTTGGCTTGGGTCTCCATGGATACCCACATGGTAGGTTATCCATTGTCATCCCTACTCTATTGACAATTAGAGTTCTAATTCTCACTCTTTCTCATCCTCTTACTACAACAACGGCGATTTGTGATGACGACAATCTAGCGGTAACAAGATTGTAACTATCGATAAAAAACGCGCAATTAATCATAACCAAAACATGAAAATTGAAGACAAAATTGTACAAAATTTCAATTAAGGTAATCATTAGTTAAGATGAAAATTGAAAAATTTAATTTAAGGTTACCATCAAATAAAAAAGAAATCCAATAAAAAAATTGCAGGAGATATTGAAATAAAAAAATTTATTCTATAAATGCAAATAAAAAAAAATTTAAAAAGAAGAAGAAGAAGAAGATGGAAACGAGAGCAATAACTCACCTTCAGATTATCAAACATCAATTAATAGAGAGGAGAAGGAGATACATAAAATTAAAAAAGAAGATGGAATTTTTTTTTTGTAGGAATAGAATTTTTCTAAATAAATTTAAAAAATTCTAGATATACATAAAATTTGACAATAATAACGTGACAATGTTAATTAATGTGTATTTGATTTTGTTGTTGAGCTAAATAAAATAAAATAAGATTGAATGTATATTTAGGTTTGGTTGTGAATCTTAAAAAAAATAATAATAATAAAAAAAAATTGAATGTATATTTAGCTTTGGTTAAGATTGAATTTTTCGAAATAAATTTTAAAAATTCTGGATATACATAAAATTTGACAAGAATAATGTGACAATATTAATTAATGCGTATTTGATTTTATTGTTGAGCCAAATAAAATAAAATAAGATTGAATGTATATTTAGTTTTGGTTGTGAATCTTAAAAAAAAAAAAGATTGTGAACCTTAAAAAAAATAAAAAAAATTAAATGTATATTTAGCTTTGGTTGTGAATCTTACCTAAAAAAAAAAAAAAGGTTGTGAACCTTAAAAAAAATAAAATAAAAATTGAATGTATATTTAGTTTTGGTTGTGAATCTTACCAAAAAAAAAAAGAAAAAAGAAGAAGAAGTTGTGAATCTTAAATAAAAAAAAGATTGAATGTATATTTAGTTTTGGTTGTGAATCTTAAAAATATAAAATAATAAAAGATAAAAAAAGGGAGTCAAGTTAAGTTGAGAAATATCCAAACCCATTAGGAGATGGAAAGAATAATAGCCATGGGAAATGGGGAATAGGAAATGAAAAAAAATAATTATAAAAAAATAAAAATAAAAAATTAATATCCACCCCACTAACTCCATTGCCATCCCTTAGTGGCAAAAATCAAAACACCATGCATATAGTTGTCGGCCGGCTGGGATGACAAGAGATCCGGTGACATCAACCCTACACGTGCACCTTCTCCTAATTCTTATGCTATTAATATTATCTTTAATATCATCTTCTATGATAAATATAGGGCAAATTACATATACCTCCCTTGAAGTTTGGCTAAATTACAGATATTTCTCTGAGATTTCGAAAATTACATTCTGTCCCTAAGGTTTGTATTTTCATAACAATTTGTCCCCTGAGGTTTAAATTTCATAACAAATTACTCCCTAATTTGTTATGCAAATATAGCATTTAGGGAGAAATTTGTAATTTTTCAAATCTCAGGGGTATTTGTAATTTAGCCAAACCTCGATGGGGATATATGTAATTTGCCCATAAATATAAGGGTCCTAATTCTTATGCTACTAAAGTTATCTTCTATGATAAATATAAGGGTAAGATATTTGCTTAAAATAGAGATGGTTTTTTTATAATTTGAAAAATCATAAATATTTTTTTATTAAATTTTTTTATTTAGTAGAATTAATTAAAAAATTAAAATTTATAATTATTTTACTATGTAATAATAAAATTATATAAATTATTAATTAAAATATATTTATAACATTATTAAAAATTATTAATTAACTTGATAATTTATTAATAAAAGAAATAATTTTTTAATCAAGAGTAATCTTAGAAATTATGAAAAAATATCATTAAATGCTTCATCCAAATTTTCCATCCTTAAATTATATATAAAATAAAATATCATACATTAACCAAAAAATAAATTTCTTTTATAAAACATTTCATAATATTAACCTTTCTCTTTAATAAAATTTCAGAATGTATGTGTAATTTATCGTCAATGAAATAATTACAAAATATCAATCGGTTACTATTCCGGATCGTCAAAGTTTCCGGGAAAAAGAGGAAGAAAGAGAAGGAGAAGAAGAGAAAACGGAGACAGAAACAGAGGAAGAGAATGGGGGCATCGTCTTCGACGGAGCAAGTTTCGGTGGAGCAACGCGAGGCCGAAAGCTTAGCGGTTTCAATTGGAGTTCTTCCTATGCTTCAGAAAGCTTTCTCTGTGCTCGCCGATCCACAAACAAATACCATTCCACTCCGCTCTCTTCAGGTGATCCCAACTCAAACCCTAATCCTTTGTTTGGTTCCCAAGAAAGTGTGGGAAAATCCAAAGGTCACCAAAATTAGCAGATCGCAAAAGTAGATGTTCCGTATGTCTGTAGGAATTCCAGATTAAATCCAAATCTAACTTTATTAGCATTTTCTATTCTCTAACCTTGATTGAATTGAGAAGAGTAAGACAGATAGTATTTTGATATCATGTCTTTATGTGCGAAATTTAGTTCATAAAAACTTGATTTTTAGGTTTTAATTGAAAAAATTGTTAGAATGACGTAAATAGAAGTCTTTAATAAGTTATTGATTCTTTATTTGCTTAAATTTCCGGTTTTTGTTGTAATCGTATTCTTTGTTTTCGCTTCTCACATACCAATATATTTGTTACAGCAATGCTTTAGCTTGGTCTTTGAGAACCCAACAAGTGAAGCAACTGCAATTCCACCAAACTTTCAGGGGTTGTTGAGTCATCTAGGTTCTTCAATAGTTGACCTATTTTTCTTGGCTGACAAAGGAGGAGTCAGTTGGATTGAGTTCTTGAAAGGTTATGTAAAGTGCTGTGGTAGGATGTCTGCTTCAACATCATTTAATATGTTATTCAGAGTATTTGCAATGGCAGCTGTGAAGGCAGATATTTCTGCGAAGCTGCTGTTTGAATCTGATGATTCTGACTGTAAGATGAGTGGGTTTTTAACTCCCACTGATGTACTCATGCTTCTCTGGATGTGTTATGTAATGTCGTTGAATTCTAAAATTTTGAAGTCTTTTGGAGGGAAAGGAGATTATAGTCTTCCGGATTTAAGTCATTTAGTACTGTCAGCTGTTTTATTGTGTGCCGAAGTTGGCAATGACTTGAATCCATGGGACTGTGATATCTTGAGCATGGCTGTGCCACTTCCTGCAGGAAAGATTCATATGTGGGCCTTGAAAACAGTCCCAAGCCTTCCTGATTGCTTTACACAATTTGTCCATGGAAGAATCCAGAAAACCATTACACAAAAGGTAGTGTATATATATTTGAATTGGTTGAATATATTGTATCCATGTTGTCCAAATTCCACTATCAATTTCCTTTACATCGGTTGTGAATTGTGTATAATGCGGTTTGCTGATGCCATCCTTTCTATATGTTCAAATTTATAAATTGATAGTCACTGTGAAACTAAAGAAGGATCAATTTTTCAGTCTTTCTTAATTGTAAGTACATCTGGCCTTATACATCTCGTCCTGTATTTGATTTTGGAACCAATTCAGCGTTGGAGGTATGCTTCAATGTTTTACTTCTTGGTTTCTCAAATCTAAACTAGATGTACATTCAAAGCCATGTACTACCCCAGGTTATTAGTTAGTTGCCAGTTTATGCGTTCTTCATTTATTACTAAAGCGGGGAGTGGATATGTGGAAAGGGGAATTCATCTTTCAAGCCTTGGAGTTCACAGTTATTTAATGAATCATTAATCATTTGTCATTCACATCAGGCATACTTGGTGCTAGAGGTAGGTGCTAGTTTAAAATTCTAGAAGTATTGTATTGCAAGGGCTACTAGCTCTCCTTGAGACATTTTGTCAATCTATATATTAATCAGCCTTCTTATTGTGCTTCAGGATCAACTATGTAGATCATTCATTCCTTAACATTGTTTTTTTGGCTGGTATTTTATTATTGAATTATTGGCTAGAACTACACTTAAGTTAGAAAGGGTAAAAAGCTGTTATTCTAGACTGTTATCTGTTTTGTAGACTTCGGTGTTGTTTTCGTCCTGTCCTTGCAGATTGCATAATGGTCCTGTTTTTTCATGGCATTTCAGAGCCGTCATTCACCAAATTTTTATTTTTTTTTTGTTCGACAATTTGGTATACTATTGGTGCTGATTGTTTCTTACCAGGCTGTCTTTCTACTCAATGCTGTCATACGTAAAGATGGGATTTTTTTTTTTTGTTATGTAAACAATTGAGTTTTTCATAGCATGATTAATGTTGTTTTCAAACCATGGATACTAATTGTGGAATTTTGATCACTGGCAGAATGAGTTGGAGCCATCATGCTTATCAGGCCATGATCTTTCTGCAACAGCGGTATGCAATACTAATCTTCTAACCCAAGGAAGGGCCTGGGCCATTTCCCTTACTCTGAGAGGCACTTTAAGTGAAGAGATTTTGAAAGCATGCTTCCCCAGCTGCAGTGATGGAACTAGTGATAGCCTACTTTATCGGTTTGTTCCCTTTTGTTGATAATGTTGTCTTAATTATCTGTTTTTAATTGCTATGCTACTCCAGTCCTTTAGGAATCCAATTCATGCATTACTCATTATTACTGTGAAATCTTGTGTGTTAACACTTTGCATATTGATGGCTGGTCTTTTGAATCAATTAGTTGGTTTTTAATTAGAAGTTTACCAGTATATAATTCGGCTCCTTCAGCAAACTTGTATTTAGATACTTCACACGCATGCCGAGTATTACATATATAGACATACCTAGCTGTTCAATCCATGAACTAAACTTTTTTCTTATAAAAATTATAAAAAAATCTCTAGATTGAAGTACTGTATGGACTTAATATTACAGAAGCATGATGAGCATGGGAGTTGACCCATCCAATGTTGGGCTTGGCGTCCATCAAAATAGTTAAGATTAACAAGGCTAATACTGAGAATTTTTACACTGGTGCAAGTTGCTCTCTCTCTCTCTCTCAGCTGCTAGTTGTACAGCTTTTTCAAGATGTTGGTAGCTTTTCTATTGGAACTTGGAGGAGACCAAGATACATTAAATTTCAAGTTCAGATGTCTATTGGCAATTGAATCTGCTAAATGAAGTTGAATTTTGTGGGGAATATGTTCATAATTCAGCATTGAAATGTTCCTTAGATTTCTTTGTAGTTTCAGTCCAATTATCGCTAGTGCTATTCCATTAGATATTTTTTCATCGTTTTTGGATAGGTTACAGTAAATCCTTTAATTTAGCATTTATTTATACATTCTTTAGGTCATCTTTTCATGGGAAAGGTTTGAACCGGTTCTGGTCAAATGTTGAAGGTTATAATGGTCCCATGCTAATTTTAGTTGCTGCTAGTTTGGGAGATGTTCATGACGGTGATGGCAATGTCAAGAAATGGATCCTTGGTGCACTTACTCATCAAGCTTTTGAAAATAAAGATATGTTCTATGGAAGCTCTGGCAGTCTATATGCTATAAGTCCAGTGTTTAATGTGCTCTCATCTTCTGGTATGTAACCTGAATGGGATGAGTCAGTTTTCCTTTAAATTTGGTTATCAGGAACTACGTACCTGGAAATCATTTATTTTAAGTATGACCACTGTGAAACTGAGCAAAAATCTATTCACCGGCAGGGAAGGAGAAGAACTTTGTGTATAGCCACTTGCATCCTACTGGTAGAGTGTACGACCCCCACCCAAAGCCTGTGGGAGTTGCATTTGGAGGATCTATTAGGAATGAGAGAATTTTTATAGATGAAGATTTTGCCAAAGTTACTGTTCGCCATCATGCAGCTGACAAAACTTACCAATCTGGTTCCCTTTTCCCTAATCAGGTACAATTTAAAGTAATTTTAGTGGTGATATTTATTGTTGGTAGAGAACTGAAGTCACTGATTTACACATTGTTTAGAAATTTGTATCCATTTCAGACACTATTTTATGGATAATCCTTACTTTGTTCAACTATGCTGTTAGTTTTGATTGTAGATGAATCACGTGTCTGTATGTATCCTTTAGGTTTGTTTGCACCACGCCTGCTCCTGCTGCTTCTCCTCCATGTGTGACTTAGTCGGTTGATTTGTATCCATTTCATCTTGTCTAACCTCAAATCAATGCTAGTTTTCACCAAATACCGTATCTGTCATTTCTCTCTGTTTCTTTCTTGGGTACCCAATAGAGTAGAAATCCCAGGCATAATATGCATTCTATGTTTAAATATTAGTTAATTCAGTTTTGCATGTCAGAATGTGACATCTGAATCAGAGTTGGCATGGTACAGGGGTTCTTACCAGTTGAAGCTTTGGTTTTGGATGTGGAAGTATGGGGGTTAGGGGGGAGAACTGCCAAGGAAATGCAAAATAAATACAAGAAGAGAGAAGAACTTTTCACCGAACAGAGACGCAAGGTAACCTCCATCAAAGTGTTTTGTCTACCATTCAGAATTTGCTTTCACAAGTGACATGGTAACATTTGCCATTTTTCTTACTCATTTTTGCAGGTTGACTTGAAAACATTTTCCAATTGGGAAGATTCACCTGAGAAGATGATGATGGACATGACCTCTAATCCCAATAGAGTTGAGCGGGAAGATCGTTAAGCTGGATCCTATTTGAACATGAATGTGTGAATGCTGTTGTACATAACTACGAAAAGTCATGACGCAAATATTTTATTTCGTAAATGTGGTTGTCTGCATGTAAAAGGTATGCTTCGATAATAAGAAAGTTGAGTTGTGAATTAGAATTTCTAGCTTCATCTGAATAACCTTGGTGCCCACTATGTTTTCCCTCTTTTCAGACCCAAAGACTGCACAGCCAGGCTGCTTTGTGAAGGATATAGGATAACAAAAGCTCCTTGTAGAGCGCGTCAGGTTGGGTTTGTTTTGCCAATCAGGGAGCTATCATACCAACTTGGTATGCAGAATCTGAATGTAGCTATTGTGATCTCACTCTCAGAGGCGTAAATTGTTGCAGTAGCAATACAGTATTGGATGTGAAATTTGTATAATAAATAATTGTATGGAAAAGCATTTTGGTTTGTGGTGGGTTTTGATAATTTGGCTGGGGCTATGGTTGTCAAGCCAGCCGCACCAAGGTATTTTTTGTTGTGTATGATGTTGCAATTAGCAGATCCAGGCTAATTTTTAGAGCTCTTGGAGGTCGAATATGAGCATTTATGTGGAAATTTGCGTACATTCCAATTTTTAGCTCTTGGTGGTTAGCCTTCCAGATGAAAACTGGCATAGGTTGAATCGGTTTCCTACTCCTATCCTACATCTTACATCTTACATGTTGTGGGATGGTCTTCATCTTTGCACTCATTCGAATATATAGAGCATGAATTTAGACAGACCTCAGTCCCATTTGGGTGGATGTTTTAAGGAGACGAGCAATGAATGATTAGGGACTTAGTATTTCATCCCAGATGAATGATTAGGAAATAAATAACCACTTAATATGCATTTATTCGATACCAATCATCATTATTACCACATCTTTGAAACATTTCTCATCCACTCTCCCTCAAGTTGACTGCAAGTTTAACCACCAAAAGGACCCATGGCTTTTAGCTAAACCTAAACGGCTTCAGCCTCCATTTAGCTCAACTCAGATTGCCTAGGTCTCCAATCTGTTTGTGTTTTTTTTATATCTTGTGCATTAGCACGAGCATGATGGATGCCCAAGCTCTTCTAAATTGTTTATGCAATTTCCTTCTAGATCTAACATTCTGCACAAGCCAGAATAGGGCAAAAGATGGATTTGCTACTAGCATAAAAAAAAAAGAAAAAAAAAAAAGAAAAAAGAAAAAGAAAAAACAGAATAGGGCAAAAGATGGATTTGCTACTAGCATAAAAAAAAAAAAAAAAAACAAAAAAAACAAAAACAAAAACAAAAAAGAAAAAAAAAGAGTATAACCATGCTTCCATAACAGTACATCTCATAATCAGACGTGCAAACTGCGGTTTCGAAAGAAACAGCTACATCAAGTCTTGTAGAAGACATCAGTAAAACTCAAATACAATGCCTCCAAAGTGATACCTGAACATATGCCACAGCTTCATAAGGCAGCACATCCATGAATTATGTTTGTTTAATAATTCTCTCAACATAATGAACTGTCTGATAGCTGTTTGATCTAAGGCTGTCAAAATGATCCTGGAGCAATATGGAGATGAGATGAGATACACTTACTGCTTCTTCTCTTCCGCTTTCCTTGGCTGAAAAAAGAAGAAAAAAAAAGAGAAATAACTATTAGAGGATAGCGATGAAGCATAAAGCATATAACCCTTGACAAAGTGAATGACTAAAAATAATTCATGTAGCTAATCCCATTTAATTGGGACACCAATCTTAGTTTGGTTTGGTTTAGCTATAAAGCAGAATCCACGATCCACTTGTAAGAGTTTTGACCAAATTCTCCAACCTCTTACCCAAATAGTGCGCATGAATGCTGCATATGGACAGCTCCTAAACTCTACAACATTAATGGCTACTCAAGAGTCTAAAGACAAGGAATCAACTGAATTGAATTTTACAGTCATATGAGTTACTCAGGATTTTCCCCTTGGAAGAATACAAGAAGTAGGGTTGTTACAATCATCAGAACCAGGTTATGTTTTCAGAAAACCCAGCAATCCAAATACTCTCTCCTGAAAATACCACAATTCCTTTCCCCCAATTCTGTCCCTGAGGCACCCCCTTCCCTTCTATTTTCCAATCCCATGCTCCTGTCTTAACTCAATAATTTTGGGAAGTTAGCAATAACTCAAGATAGAATGATATTGCTACAGACTAAAGTAATGATATAAGAAACCATGGTTCTGAGTTATCTGACTCAGAAAACACCTATGATATATAAAGAGTAGATGGCAAATAAACTCCACGACTTCTCAGAGGCATAGCCTGCAGGAGTCACCATTTAGTATTTACCCTAAACTAAACAAAGCCTGTACACCGACCGTTCATTAAACTTCAGCAATGTCACTCACTCCTGGTTTCTGAATGTTTGTCCAAAAAGGATCTTAACAAATCTCAGTCTTGAAAATATAGGTGATTCATAAGTGAAGCCATTCAACTGTACCCCTACATTTTTATCAGAAGGACCATACCCAGCCAAGCCTCGACTCTTCACTCTTCAGAGCAGGTGACGTTCTACAGAGAAGATTTGTTAATTTCTGGTCCTTAAGGTTTCATTTTTAAAATACTTCATGCTTCTATCATAATCTGTAACATAGAATAAAACCACATTACCCACTCCTAAACTTGTAATTAGATGATATCCAGTAGTCCAAGGTAAAATCCAAGGGGCTATAGAAAAGGTAACCTACAAGTGTTTTTTGTAGGAGCAAAACCAAAACATCCATGAGCTGCAAGGCAACATCCAACAAACCAAGATAATATTCCAAGATAGGTAGGAAGATTAACACGCAATTGCATGCATCTAGATTAAATCATAATGGATTCGGGCACCAGTGCAGCCTTCCTCCAGCATGTTTTCCCACTTTCAGGAAAACCAAATCAACTGTGTGAGTTATCTTTTCTTGCATATGAATTACATGTAGTTGTCAACTCTGGACTTGTAAAAAAAAAGTGGTTGCAACTCTGGACTCAAAAGAACAACACCTAGGCAAGAGCTCCTCAAGCAACATCAATGTTTCAAGAGTTAGTTTCTTCCCTCTTCCATTCAGATTAAAATCTTTTCATGTATCGTATCAACTTAACTAACATCTTTAATACCAAATATCTAAACCCGTAAAACCCAAAATTCTGATTCATCTGCACCCCATAATGTATCCGGTATCTTTTTGGGCAAGTTTTAAGAAATTTTTTTCCCCAACTGAAACAGAACAGTAAGCTCAATGTAAATGGGTCAGAAAATTGTCATTACACAGCATAATTAAGACTAACAATCCCAAAGAACAAATAACAATGATAAAGCCTTTCAGCACTCTATTCAATGTGTACTTACAACCAACTATAGCTAATGTCCTCACCATTTAGTGTAAACTTACATAGGCATAGTAACATAAAGCTCAATGTGTACTTGTGTACTTGGTATTGTGGTTAATATCTTTTTCAAACAATTTCCTAAGCCTTAATTCTTACACTCATGAGTTATCTCAGCATTTTAGATCTATAACAATAACCAACACCTAAAATTAAGAATTAATGCGAATAAATCATAAAATATTACTGGAATATAGGCAGATTAGTTTGTTCATTATTTGCCATAAATGAGGAAACACCACAATACTACCATTGGAGACACACTAAGAATTAAAAACTAAAGTGACTCAAATCATTTAAGGTTACAGAGGAGCTTGTGGAGCAAAGCGGAGTTTTAGCACAGAACCCTAATTTCTCAGCTCGTTTGAGTAGGGAACAAATTGTCGATGCCAAGTTTCAGCTCAGCCAAATTTTGGTACCATCATGAACCTGATTCTGGGAAACTAACTTCCATTTTTCTCCAAACACAAGGTGTAAACTTTCAAATCTTATGGTAATAGCTGTAAAAAATAAAAAATAAAATAAAATTGGTTGAAATATTGCGCATGAGAAAACTGATTCACTTAGCCATCCCAATTGGTAATCAGACAAAAAATGTCTAAAAAATTGAATCAGGAACAGCTAAATCTAATAATAAGAAATCCATCAAATCAATTTTAAATAGAAAAAAAAGAAAAGAAAAAGAAAATCAAGAAAAGGTAACAAGACACACCAACTGTTCGACCAAATGTCTGACTGAAGAAGAGGCATAGATTTGAAGCTAAAGAGAGACTTGATTACCTTAGTACCAGGGGCGGATTGGCGGAGCTCATCCTCGGGGATGATGACGGGCCATTGCTCACCAGCGTCGCGGAACATTTGCTCGGTCTCAAGAAGCTGACCCTTTTCAAGAATCATGGTTCTGATGGTCTGTGCGGAGGTGGAGGTAGCATCGAAGACCTCTTCGACGCCGTTGACGAATGTGACGGTGATTTGGGGAGGGTGATCGTCGGTGCGGCGCTTGACCAAGAGCTGACATGTTGGGTTGGATTCTTTGGCCTTGCGAGCGTTGCACTGTGCCAAGAATTCCATACACGCCGCCGTGCGAGGGTCCAGAGCGTTGAACTCTATTCTCACCTTCGACAAGAACTTCAACATTCTCTCTCTCTCTCTCTCTCTCTGACCTCCAAAAAAAAAAAAAAAAAAAAAAAACCAAAAAAAAAAGTGCGATGAAATTTGGAAGAGGAGACCACGGTGGGCTGGGAAAATTCTATTCCCACACGTCGATTCCTCACTTTACATATTTAATGATTTTTTAAAATTATATTTTTATTTTAAAATAAAAACATCAAAATACCTTTTATCTTTCACATCCTAATTTTTAAACCACCCAAAAATTTCTAACCCTAACTAGTCACCACACCGCCACCGGCCTCCTCCCTTAACCACCTCAACCACTCTCTGTTATCTCCGTTACCTTGTGATGGCTTATCCGTATAGCCCAAATAATTGCTATATCTGCTATCACGATCACGCCTTCCATTATTTGTATGCGTGTACGAGAGAGAGAAGAGGGGTTGGAGGTCACAATAGTGGTGTCGATGGGTGGAGATAGTGGCGGCTGACATTAGAGAGAAGCTAGGCAACAACGACGAAGGGTAAGGAAGTAGGGTTTTCTAGTTGTAGATAGCGACTAAGGGAGGTGACTGAAAGTGAAAGCGGTTGGGGAAATGGCAACTACGAGGGGAGAATGTGGTGTTGGCACTGGCATTGTCGCCAGTGGTGGAGCTAGGAAATTAAATTAAGAGGGACACTTATTAATTACAGCTTTATTTTTCTTTTCATAACCAACAATAAGAAGATAATAATAATTTTTGAATTAATATTAAGTACAAAAAATTAAACAAATTGTTACAAAATATTTCACATAAAGTTTTACAATTAACTTCGAATAAAATTGAAGAGAAAGTATTACGTGTAACTAGTGTATCATGGATAATGTAAAAAAATCATATATTTAAGTCGTAAAATAAATTATATAATGGTAAGATAAATTAAATTTTTTCAAAATTTGAGTAAAAATTTCATATAATAGTAACATTACGTCATTATTGATATATGATATTACAAACCAATAGTAAAACAATATATGAACGGTGAACTCCACATGCAAATATAACTAACACTTTAGTAATTTTTACATATATATATAGTAAGATTAATTATATATGCATATCAATAATGATGGATATTACTTTTATATTGAGATTTTTCACAAAATTTTCATATATAAAAATATAATTTATTGTAGTCACTTCATTTTCAATAAAACAATCACTATTGTTTTCATAAAATTAAAAATGCCCTTAATGTTTTATTCTAAATATTATTTTTATTTAAAATTTTATTTATATACATGTTAAAAAAAAAAATTTGAAAAATCAAGGGAGGGCGCGTGACCCTCTTAGTCCTCATGTGGTTCCGTCACTGGTTGTGACTAATGATGGAGGTGGCGATAGTGGCTAGGGTTAGAGATTATGATTAGTGTTGGAAGGATGAAGAAGAGGTTATTTTTGGTATAATGGGTTGTGTATTGAGTAAAATAATTTTTTTTTTCAAATTTATTAAGTGTGTGAACTGAGATATAATGTGCACAGAGATGAGCTGAGTTTCTCTCCGGTGGTTTATCCATTTTAGTCACTTTTATTTTCTTTTTCTCATGGATATAAACATTTTGTTTTATTAAAAAAAAAACACGTATTCATATTAATTTGTTAGTAACATTTATTTAACATAGTGTTGATTGATTTATTTATTTTAATATTTTTCACTACATAAAAGTAAATAAATCATATATATAAGAGCAATTTTTAAGTGTGCGAGTGCATATCATTGTACTTACGTAAATTCTCACAAATATATCTCACAAAATTACTTAAGTTTTCATATACGTAAGTTAACTTGTAAAAATTTGAGAAATCACAACTTACATATATTTGTAAGAACTTAAGCGATTTTGTGAAGTAACTTATGTATATTTGTAAGAATTTACTTAAGTGCATATGATATGTACTTTATATACCCAAACACTTCCCATTTAGCTTCACTAACAACCTCTTATTTTCTTCTTCTTATTATTTTTAACATGTCATAAAACGTCCCAATTTTTTGCAAACAAAATGACTAGAGTATTTCTAACCAAATTTGAAAATGTCAATTTTTTTAAGGACTTACATAGTAATTTAACAATTTTGAACTTTTTGCCAAATTTATTATTTTTATTTTTTGAATTTTTTTTATTCTATCAAGTTTTGGGTTGTGGGGCTTGCGACCCATGAAACGAAAAAAAAAGAAACAATTCCATATGTCAAATTTTTTAGAAAGAGACATGCCAAAGCCTCATAAATACTAAGCACACTGACTAAAGTGACTCAAAATATCAATCTCATTATTTGAAATGCTTCGTTAAAATTCACATATCGATTGAAAATGTTCATACATTTCATGACAGCTCAATTGTTTTAAATATGATTTATAAATTGATTTATTTATTTATTATAAAAATACGTGAAAAAAATAGAGAGATGATTTGAATTAAATAAGCCAATAATCTAATAAGTTAGCTTTTTTGCCAACATTATAAAAAATCAATTTTTTGACTTTTTGATTTTTTTGATCACATCATCTCTCTATTTTTTTAATACACAAAGTCAAAAAATCACAAAAAAAGTCAAAAAATCAATTTTTTACAAACTTCTTATAACACCACTAAGGGACAATTTGGGAACTTGATAAAAAAATAACTTTTTAACTTTTTTACACTAAAAGTTACAAAAAAGCCAACTTTTTTACACAAAAAGTCACCAAAAAGTCAAAAAAATAAAAAAAATTAATTTTTTACTAATTTTTCAAAACACAACTAAATGTTGCCAAAAGATAACATAGTAATTGCAAAGTTAACATCCACCCAAACAACAAAGCCAAATAGTCTAATTATTGTATTAAGCTCCAAAAATACCGTCATCATGGACTCAAGTTCCTTTAATAACCAAACCACAGGTTAGCAAAAAGAAAAAATGGCAAATAGATTATAAAGAACTATAAATAAATGAATATTATTACTTACTATGACAAAACAAAAACATAGCTGATTCAGAATTCTAAAAAACAGAGTATTAATCAATTCTAATGAGCTGAAAATTCAATAAAACAAAAAAAACTCAGCCATCACATCATTGAAAGGGCCAACTCATCAGAGCTCCCCTAGTACTCCAAGTAATCTTGAAACAAAAAGGTAATCTCTTGTCCCTAGAGATGACAACCGATCAATATGGAGTAGTAAGAACTAAGAAGAGGTTAAAGTATTTGCAACCATGATCATACACTCCCCTTCTTCTTCCTCCCATTTTTTGGGGTAAAGATTATGCAGAGGGCATACCATCAGCAGAGCAACTTCCAAAAAGTCATCAGGCATAATCACCACGGAAAAAGTAACCAACAACTAATCCAAATTTAAAATATATAGATCAAATTCATCCAGAGTATAACCCAAATCACATCAAGTTTGTGTCCGAACATATGTTGTTCAGGATAAGCATTGTTAGTGTATAATTGTTAATAGCTTTAATTGTATAACTTTAGCACTTTATTTTTTATGTTTTCGGTGCCTCAATTGGCATCCTATGTTGTCTTCTCCTCTCTATAAAGAGAGTGCATTCTCTTTGTAATAGATACATTTTTACAGACAAACAATTCATTGTCTCTCTCTCTCTCTATCCTCTCTCACTTTCTCAAACTATTATTTCAAGCATAATTAAAGTCACAAAAAAATGAGTAAAGGAAAGCTTGATCCAATACTAATGCAAGCAATTGCTGAAAGTGATTGGTAGGCACCAAATATGCCACAAATTTCTCAGTAATCAATTTAATGAAACTCCAAAGGCAAATACCAAAAGCAAGATGACCTCTACCCTCTCCCGCACAACCTCTTCCAGAAATAAGCAAATACAAATTTGTATTTTCATTTTCCTTCTGAAATCATACTCAAATTAACTTCTAAAGAGTACAGTAAAATATTTTCATGTCTAAAATAGGATTTTCTTTTATTTTTGGGTTAATTACATTTTACCCCCTTGTACTTTAACTCAATAACACATTACCTCCATATGTTTAAGAAATATACACATAACCCCTTACGGTTTGGAGTAAACTGCAAAGTTTTACTCCCTTAATAGTTTCTACAAAAAGTCTATAATACCCTTATTTTTTTTGGTCTAATTTTCTTCTCAATACCATTTCAAACTAGATCTCTATTTCCATTTTCTTCTATTGTTTTCTCTTTTTCTCCTTTTCTTCTTCCCTTTTTTTTCCTCGTTCCTTGGAAGACCACGCACCATCCAACATCATTACCATACCAGCAACCTCCCATTTTTTTTTCTTTTTTTTAAAGCAACCTTCATTGCCCCATTTGGATGAAACCCACAGACATCCGTACATATATTTATATACATGCATATACATATTTATTTGCTCAAATGTGTTTCTTAAAACCAACAATACAGTAGAGAGAGATTGTAGACTAGAGAGATTAAATCAATATCAATTTCTTGAGAAATGGTAGCAAAAGTTAGGAGTGCAACTCGGGCGGGTTCGATCGGATTAGGAGATTGTCCAAGCCCAGCCCAAATTTTATTAAGACCTGCCCAAGTCTGAATTGTAACAGCCCGACCCAAGTTAAACCCGAATTGCTCGAATTGTAAATGAATTTCAGTTTTTTTTTTTTGCAACTACATTATTAAATTATTAAAATTTGACTCTATTTACATTTTTTTATTTATAAAAAATCATTAATACCATCAAAATAACTAATTTATATCATGTAAGAGAGATGCCTCTATAGTAGGTGTTATAATTTATGAGTGAAAATAATTTTCTTTTAATGTTATTTCTATATATAATATATATTCAATATGATTTAATAATCTAAATTACTTTAATATCATGAAATGACTAATAATTTATATATATATATATTTAATATTTTTATATATCTATATATGTATAATTTGGGCTTCGGATTGCTCGGGTTGTTTGACGTCTTTGCCCAAGTCCGCCCAAATTTAATTCGGACTTTTGAATTTTTGTCCAAATCCGTACCGAATTTGAAAATATCTTGTTCAAGCTCTAAACAAATTCGGGCTAGATCCGGATTGAACCCGCCAAGTTTTTTTTTTTTTTTGGGTAAGTAAAAAAATTGGGTAAGTAAAAGCTACCAATCCAGTCACAAAATTGGGTAACAAAAGCTACCAATCCAGTCACAACCTATTGCGAAGATATTCGATTGCCAACTCGATCGAAGCTCAAATCATCTGAAACTAGCCCCACCAAACTCAGCTGTCCAAGGTATATGCTGCATTGGGAGGTACTTGGGGATGGTTTAAGTATCAGCTCATCTCACCAAATGCATCACTTGTTATGATATCTATAAATAAACATTAACAAATTCCAAATCAATAACCTATTTTAGTGGGTTTGTATACCATTTGTGCTATAGTGTGAGTTCGTTCCATGGTGATCTTGGGGGGTTGGTTGAAGTGAGGAAAAAAGAAAGGGATATGAGAGGGAGGAGATTACATGCAGTGGATAAAAGAAAAGGGAAGGAGTGATGGTTTCATGATGTCTGTGGGTTGTTAGAGGAAGTGAGGGAAACAAAAGGGAGATGAGAGCGAGCAGACTGTGAAAAGAAAAAGAAATGAGAGAATGGCTCTGTCAGTGTTGTTAATAGTGAAAGGGTGGAGGTAGAAGAGAGTAGAAAAACAAAAAACAAAAAATAAAAAATTAAAAAAAAGAAGACAATGAAAAATAAAAGAGTACAAACGTAATTTTATTAGTTTATTTTGGCACACGCTCAATTTGGTGCGTGTGTTGCACTTGCCGTTAAATATAACAAAATTCATTACTTTCGCACTTTATTTCAAACTACATGAGAGTTATGTATATATTTCTAAATCACAGGGAGGAGGTAATGCGTTTTTGAAATAAACCACGGGGGGCTAAAGTGTAATCTAGGACAAGTTGAGTCCAATCTAGGATATATCTTCACCCTTTTTTACCAAGGCAAAAAATTAGTACTCAAAAAGCATGAAAAAGTAACCTCATTATTAGAAATTACATTGTAAGGAATGATAACTAAAACATAAAATATACCAAGGACACGAAAATTGGGAGCTATACCTACAATTCAGGAATTGTTGGTAGATATCAAGGCTCGCACTCATAATTTGAGTATCACGCAATGTTTCACACAAGAAAAATAAATAAATTGAATCAATACTTCTTTCCAAAAAAAAAAACCAAGTCAGAGGAGATATATAAAATAGGCCGGGCATCAATTAGTCATTCCTCTTGAAAAAATATACAGAGTGACGCTAAATGCATGATCATGCACCTGTAATCTCCCTATCCAACTTCATTCTCTTTGCACTTTGCACCTCCGGCATGCTACTGGCCCGCTGCAGCGATGACGCATCATGTCGATATGAACAGTTGGATCCGTGCCGGCATCCCCTTGAACTGTTAAAATAGATGCATGGCTTCATAATCTTGGGCTTCAAATCCCTTGGTGTAGGGTTATTTACCGATTCCTGGTTCACTCCTAATTGGTGGTTGTGATGGCTACTACCAAACTGTGGAGGGTTCTCTTGTCTTTCTCCCCCGTGTTGTTGAATCAAACTCTTATAATAGTTAATGTCCTTTGCAACAGGAGGCCCCACAGGTGGAGAGGGAACTGGAAGAACTTCAGCTGGAATGGGTCCCACTCTATTTGGTGGAGTGTAGAACTGTCCACTTGGAGGACCTGCCAATTGGGGTCCACCAGCTTCTGCCCGGCTGATCTGAACTGGAGGTGGCTCAGATAAAATTATCCCGGGAGGCCTTGGCATGGGGGGCATGGTCTGAGGGTTAGCGGCTGCTATGTGGTCTGCAATTAGTTTTTCAATTAAGGTTGGATTGCTGAGAATTTTAATGAGCAAATCCTGGTCAATCAAGCTTCCTTGGTCATTGCTTGTCATTATTGCAGTCAAGGCTGCTTGTGCAGCCGCTGCCACATCTGGTTCAACCCCAGGGATCATTCCAGCAGCCACTGCATTTCCATTGGCATTAGGGTTAGGGTAACTACTGGAACCGCCCTGTGATGCAGTAGGCATTCCAGGAGCCAATAGTGGAGCCTGTGAGCTCATGGGAATGGTGTTCTGTACCATGGGATCAACTGATGTATCTGCATCTTCATCTTCAATGGGCGTGATGGAGATCTGAGGAGTGTTCAGATCATTGTGAGAGTCTTCAATGCCCATTAACACAGAAGGGCTGCATCAAGACAAAAGGAGATGTTTAGTGCAAGGAAGAGGATATTCTAAACGATAGAGTTTCCCTAAGAAAAGCAACACACTTTGGAGGAATGGCAGATGGACGAGGATAAACAGCCTCGAGCACTCTCATCTCCCGCTGGTTTTGTATCTCCACTTCTTTGCTTTCTTCCCCAGCAGCCACTTGCCATGTGGAGTCCAACACAAACTGTGAAAATAAGAGGAAAACAAGTATTTGTTAGAAAACTACACTGCTGACCAAATTTACTTTCGGAATTTAGTTACCATGTGCTAATCAAGAGTCAAATAGTTTAATACTGAAGAAGGATAATAACTAGTAGCTTCTTTTTCCTTAGAGCTAAGGTTCACATCAACCTCCATTAAGGATGGATAAATATAATAACTAGTAGCTTTATGAACCACCTAAAATTGAAGAGCCAATTATTTTGATAGGAGAAAAACTCCAAGAGATACTCATGGGATTTCCTCTTCAAGGACATGCCTCCTGGTTTTATAGCTGTTCTGGTGTTGCTTGTTGGTTGCTCCAAAATAGATCATCTGTCTCTCTCTCTCTCAGCTCTTTTTAATCTAATTATCATGCAGGAATATTTTGACAAAGTTACAGACCTAGAAGGTTAAAATTCAATTATCATTTCAACTATATCACTGATCTAACAGGATGTGATAAAAACTTAGGTTTACAAATATCATATTTGTACACTTGTAACAGCGCCCAAGGCACTACAATAACACTGATTTCGTTTTTTTCCTCTTTTGCCCTAATAAGTTACTTGTTTTTACAATTCTTATTTTTATACACATTTATATTTCTAACTACAATTCTCATGTTTAAAACAATATATATATATATATATAACCACAAACATTTATAAGGTCTTTGATAAGAATTTTCTTCATCATAATGATAATAAGATCATTTGTCTGCTCATTTGCCCAAACATACCAACAAAAAGTGAAACTATTTTTTTCCAGACTTGTATGTTGTGTGAATAGTTCTCTCTATTTAAGCACAGTCATATTAAAACAAAACACTTCATAACAAAACAAAGACTGAGGCACTCAACAAAAACAGTAACTTACTTTAGGAGGAAAACTCCATTTAATAAGAGGGATTTGGGACAACTTATTCTTCAACAGGTTGGCAGGATGAGCACCTTCAAAACCGGGTGGCAAATTGTCATCAGAGCCCATTCCTGTTGGTGGCGAGAGCCATGATTCCTTTGCTTGGAGGTGATCCTGAGCACCCAACCCAACTTGGGCAGGAGATTCATCTGAGAGAAACAGCCTCACCTATTTAAGAAAAAACCATTAGTCCACTGAACATTCAAATATATCAATTTGAATGTAATATTATAAAATGCTTGATCCTAGATTTATTTTACAACCTCCCCTCAAGCAACCAGATAATAAGAGCTGGTTAGACAAGGCAATTATGCATATATACTAAACAGATTATATGGGTCTGTTAATCCCTTTTAGCTTCGTTCATAGACAAATAAATGTTTCTAAGTGAGAATCGAGGAACAAAAGCAAAGCAAAATAATAAGCAAAATCATTGTACGAACTACCAAAAGAAACCGTCGTCTCTGGCACCAAATAAAAAAAATAAATAAATGCAATTCAAAAAAGAGAAAGATACAACCTCAACCTGATGGAGCTCATAGAGAACCACACTACGACAAAAGAAATGTTATCGTAGTGAAAATAAGAACTTACTAAATGCACATTGTTAACGAGAGAGAATGCAACTAATTTCAGCGCAATGCAAACTCAGGACAACATACCCACTATCTCATGCATATTCATCCAATCAAAAGGAACTCAAGCATCAACTTGATTTACCGAACCAATTCCAGTACTAAACGCGACCACTCCATCATGCTACCTCCACTCCCTTAAAAATTAAACAATGGAATATAATGAAGTTGGATGCATTACGAATTGTTGTTCGTTCAGGTTTCAATTGTTTTTATTTTGTTTTGTTTTTTACTACATGCAAATTGATTGTGTATCATCAATTGACTATGTTGTTTTTAATCAGTTCTACAGATGAAATGACGTTATTATGCAATGACTAAGATATGAAAATTTGTTGAGGTCAATTGCAACAGTTAATATATATTACATGTTTTTTGTTAAAACAAAGTATTAACATATTAAAATTTCTTTCATTTATGATTTGAGAAATTCAAATTAGTTTGTCAATTTATTAAAAATAGATGATGGATATTGATTCGTGTGAATTTTTTTTATAGGATTTATAGAATTTAAGTTTTTGAATGTCATCACTGACAAAATATCCTTGAAGTCACCACTGGTTGAGACCATCCCTTACACACAAACAACAGCCCCTTAAAAGTTGATATTGATAACCTCCAACATTTGCGACCTTAGAGCTAAGGTTCACATCAACCTCCATTAACCTTTTTTGTTACTTCTACAAATGGATAATATACAAAAATAAAAATAATGCCATCCTCAACACAATGAGCTACACAGAGATAAGATTTCATAAATAACTTTTAACAATGATACTGAAATAAAGGCAGCAGTTCAAACCTTAATTTGACACAACCTAAGGCAAAATCTCAGCTTGTTAATTGGAAATCCATGCCTGTCTGGATTTAAGAGATCAATATCAATGTTTGTGAAAAAGGAAAATTAGAGATTATAGAAAACTTTGGATGTGGAAAAGGATGGGAAACACTGGCCATCGAGCCTTCCTGCTGCTGAGCTATAGGGAACCTGAACTGGTTTGATGTTTGCATGGGAACATAGCAACATCAAAAGGATTACTATCAATTCCTGGTTGGGTAAGATATGATCAAAGCAAAGAAAGTGATTAGGAGAATAAAGCTCTTATTGATGACTACCAAAGCCGAATGAGTCAGATGGGGCACTTGATGGAAGCAAATGGGTAGATAAAACTAACTTGTTAATACCAGATAATCTCAACAAAGAAAGACACTTATGTTGGAACAGCCTGCCTGGAGATAACAAAGTTTTTGCTTGCTAATATGGCTTCTGTTCACTTAAACTTTTGAAGAGAGCTGCACACTGAGTTTTTCTGTTCTGTTTTCTCAAGCATTCAGAAAAATAAATAAAATAAGACAGATACTTTTCCCCATAAAACTCCTGCCCTAGTCTTTCTATTTCAGCAGAGGATATGGATATGAAACAAAAAGTCACAGTCATGTCAAGATCCTATGGGGAACTCTCTTTGTTGGATCGCAAAAGCATCCTTTCCTATTACAATGTTCTGTATTAGCTGACAAGAAACAAAATTCAAACTTAGAGGTTGTTTGGGGTGTCCTAAATAAGTGCACTTTTTGTCTTTTTGGACTAAAAAATTGAGGAAAAAAATATGGATGTTTGGGTTAACTTTTTGACTTTTTACAAAAAAATGTGTAAAAAAAATTGAAAGAATAAGTTGACCTTTTGGATTGATTTAGGGAAAAATTAGGATTGAGAGTTGTGCAGCCGTAATTTTTGACTTTTGGTGAATAGTGATAACTTTTTAACTTTTTGAGTAACTTTTTGGCAACTTGTTAAACTTGGCCTAAAAAAACTACATTTGGTCAATATATTATCATTCTATTAGGCTGAAATACTTTGAGATAAAAGTCACACAAAACTACAAAATCACTAGTTTGTTAGAAGTCTTCAAATCTAGTTTCAAGCTAGAATTCCACATAAAAAATTTCTAGACCATTACTAGCATAATTAAGAAAATTATGAAGCAGATATACAGTCAATAATCTAGCACTTCAGAGTAAACAGTGTAGATGTACAAACCTCTAGGTCAATTGGATCTACGACAATCATCTGCTTTCAAGAGGTTTAGATATCACTAACAGCACATTTGAATGGCAATGCATTTCCTTTTACCATATCCCGTTTCCACAACCACTCCACAGTAAGCTGGTTTGGCATATAATTTCTATACATATTTACGTAGGCATTACATATATATGTCCTACATAGCCATAATCATATGTTTATAAGATGTACACCTATGTGCACTATTCTCCTCTATACAAACTTATACATCCTTATATTTGTGTCAGTACTTGTATGTGTTCCACAAATAGATGTGCATACACAAACACACATACATTCATGCACAATTGCTCGATGTCTATTTCGTTCTTGAGTTTTTTATTTCAACATGTCTAATTTTGAAATTGAAATCACATTTAGAAGTAGTTATCAAACATGCTTTCACTTTTTACAATTTTATTCCAAGAAAAAAATTGTTGATTTTCCACTTCGAAAAAGAACTTTAAAAAGTGTTACGAAATATTACCTTAGTGTTTGCTCTTTTGAGTGTAAAAGAACCATAATTAGTATATGTACATTAACTTGAGCGACAAGTCTAATGGATTTCAATCATAACAGTTGCGCTTACTTTTGTTTTGTCAATGCCAAATTGTTTTCTTGCCTGCCTCTTGTTTGTCTAAAGCTTTCAACTTGTTCAACCCACCAACAATATCATTCACTCATTAATAGTGGTTGCACACAATATCCCTTGATAAAGATTCATCCTTCATCCTTCTTTTCTTTAAGGTAACAACATCCCCATTTCAACTTGAAGCCATTCATGCATATGTTCATCTAAATTGAGTCTCCTCCTCCTTCAAGCAAATCACAATCATCAATCACATATAACCAGACCATCTTCAATGTTTTCCCTTAGCTCCTCCCACATCCATCATTGCATTGCCACTTATCCATCAAGATTCTCATATTGGCTTAAAATTATTACTTATGAAAATGTTCATTTGAATTTTACCACTATTCTTTTACAATTTGTGATCGTTGTCTGCTTCAATATTTTCCTGTGTTGCCTTATGCTGTCAAGAAGGAACGATTTTTAAATATATCCCTTTGTAAATTGCTAACTTTTAAATTGTATACATTACAAAGCAATTTTGCATCTTGACTCTCATATCTAGTAAGCTTCCTCCAAATAAGTTTCCAAAGTTTTGCAAGATCAAAGTCATTTTGAAAACACACAAAATTCCAATAATCAGGCAACCAGCTTCTACTTTCTCAGAGCTACATGCAAGTTAACCATGACTCCTCATGTTGCACTGTCTTTTCTTTTCTTTTTTTTTTCCTTTCCATTTACTACTTACTAGTATGAATCTAGAAACAATTTGTTTCTCAAAATATTCAAAACTAATGCATTTGTTTACACTAACACTTCCCACAACACAATTGCCTCAACTTTTCAACAAATAAACTCATTGTTGTCATTTCCTTCCCCTTTTTCTTATCATCTTTGATGAATTTGTAATGCGTTACATGATGCAAACATGCAAACTTAAGCATATAAAAAAAAATAAAATCAGTTCCATGTACAAAACCCATAAGAAATTTTCGAATTTGAACTATCAAAGAAAAAATTGACAAGCTGAATGATATCAAAACTGTTTCTTGAGATGTTTGGTTCGATTTACCATTTTATTACAGTTCAAAAGTTTCTGAACCACAAATCGAAGCGAAAATAATCATCAAGAAGATAGTGTACAAGATTTTTAAAGATATACCTGACAAAGATTAACATCTGAAGCCCAAGAAACCCTTTTTGATTTCTTCATTCCTCGCATAATTACAAATACAGATTTGATAGTCAATATGTGTCTTTATATCTTTATACTAATCGATGAATCAATCAAACCACAACAACAGATCAGTCAAAATCAAACAACTTTTTGAATTCGAAACCCCTAGATTACTCTTTCGCTAGTCGCGAAAACACTAATTGGGTTCCATTCTAACACGATCGAAGACGATTGAGATACAAAGACTGATCATCGATTTTACGTATACATAGAGATGTATGTACACAAGAGAGGGATCCAAGGAAACCCTAGATAGCAAACCCTAAGGTCCTCTGGTTCCTCTAGATTTTGCTGCGCTTTTTTGTTTTTTGTTTTTTTAATTTTTTGCCTTTTATTTATCTCTTGGAAACACTGGCGTACGTGTACTTCGTGTACAACGCGAGATCGCGTGTTTGAAACGCTTTCTAGGCGCGTGAAGAGATAAATTTTTGAGCCTAGGCATATTACATATACCTCTCTCGAGATTTAGTTAAATTATAAATACCCGCTTGAGGTTTCGGAAATTACAGATATCCCAGAGGTTTATATTTTCATAACAAATTGCTCTATGAGGTTTATATTTTCATAATAATTTGCCCCATAATTTGTTATGCAAATAGTATCTTCAGGGGGTATCTGTAATTTTTCAAACCTCAGGGGGTGTCTGTAATTTTGCTAATCCTCGAGAGGGTATATGTAATTTTTCCTTTGGGCCTAGGGTAATTTTCCCATCGGACCATTCTCACTAATTTAAATTAAGAGAGTCACAGGGCGATCCTTTAAATTTGACTTAATTTTTATGAGGTTTTGATCTAAAATAATTGATCTTCTCATTTTACTCTTGACATTTAATTCCCACATAGAAATAGCTCAATCATTGCACACTCTCTCTTTCTTTCAATCGGTTATCGAAGACCACTTTCGACCTTTAATAATATTGTTTTTAGGCCATTTTCCATTTCTATCATATCAATACTGTCATGTTGGCAACAAGAGAAAAAAAGAAGAATAAAGATGAAGAAAATGAAGGAGGGAAATAAGGAGTCCTTATTAGAAAATAATTCTCCACATTTGCCAATCAACACAAAGATTCAAAGATAAATCCAGTAAAAAAAATTATGATTGGCACATTCAATAATAAATTTATCACTATTTGTTTTTTAAAAATTAAAAAAAGAAAATCTCATATTTATAGTTACAAATCAACATAAGATTCAAAGACATGCTCAGTGATAAATTTATTACTGAATATTTATTAAAATATTACAAAAAGAAAATCTCATCATTATCGTCACAAATTAGCACAAGATTCAAAGACATATTCAGTAATAAATTTAGCAGTGATAAACACATTCACTGATAAATTTCTTACTAGTTATTTGTTAAAATATTACCAAAAAAAAAAAAAATTCTCGTCATCATCGTCACAAATCAACACAAGATTCAAAGAAATATATCAATGATACATTTATCACTGATATAACAGATTTGGTTTAGGAGAAATAAAAAGAAATAGAGAGAGTGAGGAAGAGGGAAGTGATAAATATAACATCAACAAAAATCAGTGATAAATTTATCATTGTATTAATATCAAAATTTCAGCAGCAGCAGTTCACACCATATTAAACAAATCAGTGATAAATTTATCACTGAATTAAGAAAAAAAAAAAAAATTCTCGTCATCATCGTCACAAATCAACACAAGATTCAAAGAAATATATCAATGACACATTTATCACTGATATAACAGATTTGGTTTAGGAGAAATAAAAAGAAATAGAGAGAGTGAGGAAGAGGGAAGTGATAAATATAACATGAAAAAAAATCAGTGATAAATTTATCATTGTATTAATATCAAAATTTCAGCAGCAGCAGTTCACACCATATTAAACAAATCAGTGATAAATTTATCACTGAATTAAGTGATAAATTCATCAGATTACTTCAACATGTTTTACAAATGTAGATCTTCACTAACACACCGTAGAAAGAGTCTCGATCTCATTGGCGACCATGTAAAGTATCAAATTGGTGCTGAAGATGGTAGATCGGCATTGAAAACAACTAGATTTGAAGCCATTGGTGAAGTTCGACGTTGAAGATAGTGGATCGATGATTGAAGAAAAACAACAGTGATGGCAGATGAATGATGGATGATGGAAGAAGAGCGGCGGTAATGGTAAAGAGGAAGGAGGACAACAATGTTAGGCGAGCAAGTCAAACGGTTGAGAGATGGTAAAGTATAGATCGGTGACGGTGGAAATGATTGGTGAACAATGGTGGTGGTAGTGGCCGGCGAAAGTGGTGGTGGTAACCTGTGGAGGTGGTGGTGGTTAGTGACGGATGACGATGATGGTTGAGGGTGGATGGCCATGGCCATAGCTACAATGTTGGTCTGAAGATGGTAGATCGGCATTGAAAACAACTAGATTTGAAGCCATTGGTGAAGTTCGACGTTGAAGATAGTGGATCGATGATTGAAGAAAAACAACAGTGATGGCAGGTGAATGATGGATGATGGAAGAAGAGCGGCGGTAATGGTAAAGAGGAAGGAGGACAACAATGTTAGGCGAGCAAGTCAAACGGTTGAGAGATGGTGAAGTATAGATCGGTGACGGTGGAAATGATTGGTGAACAATGGTGGTGGTAGTGGCCGGTGAAAGTGGTGGTGGTAACCTATAGAGGTGGTGGTGGTTAGTGACAGATGACGATGATGGTTGAGGGTGGATGGCCATGGCCATAGCTACAATGTTGGTATTTTCTAGAGAGAGAGAGATGAGAAAGAATAAGAGTTTTGAAAAAATGATCAAGAAGAAGTTAATACAAATTGAAAAAAAATTAATGAGTAATAAATATTATAAACAATTAAAGATTTAGAAAATGTTTGGGATGATTTGAAGAGAGATTTTTACCAGCTGGTAGTAGGGGCAAAATTGGGATTAAAAAAATATAATAGGACTTTCTAGTGCATGAGATAAAAACTTAGGACCTAATGGGTAATAGATTCAATTATTAGGATCGGCTGGTAAAAATCCCTTTAAATTATTGGGCCTACGGCAGCCTCATCTCATGACCCATCGAAACATTCTTAGCACTAGGAGCCAGAAATGAACCAAACAGTTGGAACTCGACTCGTATTCGACTTGTTAAAAATTCGTTTAAGTTTAGTTTATTAAATAAATAAGTTAAATTTGAATACATTTTAGAACTCGTCAAGGTTTTCAAACCAAACTTGAACAGTCAATTACTCATTCGATTCAATTCAATAGGCCTAAAATTAGATAAAATATCAAACTACTCAAGCTCGACTCAATAAAAGCTCATTTGAGATCAGTTCAAAATTTTAACAAATTAAGTTTGAACAAATTTTCAAACTCGTTAAACTTATTAAACCAAACTTGAATAGTTAACTGTTCGGCTCGTTCGATTCGTTTATCACCCTTACTTAACCTTAAAGAGGATGGTCAAACAGATACCTCATTTCACCATCATTACCCCTCTCAGCCCATTTCCTTGATCTAGGGTTTTCATATATGAGGGAAAGAAAAATAACAAGATCTAGGGTTTTCAAATAATATAAGAAAGAGAACAATAAAAAAAGGCCACGAGAATCTGTGATAGAAGAAGAAGAAAGAGGGGGTGACAAAAAGAAGAAGGTGCATACATGAAGGGGTTGGCAGTAAGTCGTGGAAGGAGGAGAGGTGTAGTGACAAAGAACTAATAGTGGTGGTGAGTTGATAGAAATGGCAAGTAGAGGTTTGTGCAGTGCGGTTCAGGCGATTTGAGAATAAATTATAAATCAAATGGCGGATTAACAAATCACGGTTTGGGTGGTTTTGAATAGATTACGGATTGAAGAATATTTTAACAACTTATCAAGTATTTGCGTAATATATAATACTAATTTGCATAATATTTTTTTACATATATAACACAAACTAATTTAATATAATATTTTTCATATGTATAACTATTAATTTTTTAACGCCCAAAAATATTCCAACAAAAATTTAGGTACATCAACCAACATTCATTAAAGGAATAATAGCAATTCTCCAACCTTCATATCATTGATCATTAAGGTTTATACAAAATAGTCCCACATGCGAAATATACATTCAATGATATCAAATACGTGAATCTATAGCATGTAGAACGTCAAATCCAAACATAAATAAAGTGCCCTCAAGGGGCTTACATATTTCAAGGCTTAAGCCCGGTTATACAAAAATGGTCTCTTGGACCCAAACAGTTATAGCCCTAGGCTTGCAAAAAATTACAATCACAACAAAATAGAGTCTTGTGCTCTCACTACATGTACCTACGCCCTAGTTTGGCGGGTTCATCACGTCTTTTCTTGTACCAAAATCCCATTGGGTGAGCATAAAGCCCAGTAGAGAATTCTTAACAAAGTATGTACATTTTATACAAGCTTCCCAAAAATGAAGTGCACATGCCATGCTATGTCTTTTTAAAAGAAGATCACATCTACATTTTTTGAAAAAACAACATGCTTATTAATAACTTGAAATCTCAACAATTCATAAACTTACAATTTAATTCAAAGGGCGGTAAATACGACTCAGGTAATCCCTAGATTGGTGTCTGCAAGTAGGCATAACTAGCACTACCAAAACCTCACTTTACCGGTGTAGACACCCCATTTTGACGGCCTTTTAAGACTTGGATGATCTTGCAGGTACATCCGGTGGCGAGTCTAATTGCTCACTGAGTGCTTGAAGTCCGCGGCGGAACGCCATAGGTTTGAGTTTTCCAAACCCTGCATCCTTTTTGCCTCATTTTTGGACCATGCTTAGGTCCTTTCAGATTGAGGTTGGTGATGGCCTGCCGGCCATTTTTGAGGGCTGCCGGCCATTGATGTGCCTGGCCGGCCACCAGTGCGGCCGGCTAGCAGTGTTTCAGC